AACAAACACACACCCTTCTCCTTACAATGTTTAATTTTGACCAATGCCTCCTTTGATCAGCTTGATTTGCGCCCAAGGTGGCCACTTGGCGAGGAATATGCTGAAGGAAAAAGTGAAGCTCGTTCGCTGAGAACAGCACGGATTCATCCATCACTTACCTCTCTCATTAAGGCATCTGTTAAGCAAGAGTCACAATCTACAATTTAAAATTACTCGAGACTTCTCTGCAACGGGTATCCAAAAACATGGAGATATTCTCTCTGAGGATCTTGAGACCTCTATAAAGTTAGCTCACATTGGATCGGGATTTGAATACGTAATCATCACAAGCTGTTGAGATGGCTCAGTTCTGAGGAAATTTTTTGTATTATGGGAGATTAATAAGTCTCACCTCAGTGTCATTTGGTGGTAGATGTGGTTGTTAGTATTTTGCACTTGTGTTAGAAGAATGGCATGAGATTTATTGTATAAACTTTTGCTATGCTATATAGTTATGGTTTAGGATATATTATGTTGTGAATTATTCCTAATGAGACAAAAATTAATTTCTTCTGATTAATATAGAAAGTGTATTATGTTTTACTGCACCTGTATTTAGCGATAGTGTTCTAACTTGTACTTAGGAATCACAAGTCAGCAAAGTTTAGAAATTCTAATACTGAGAAGTGTAGATGAGATAGTTTACAATTCTCTCTTCTTGATTATATTTATTTTCTTATCTTTAAAAACAGAATATAATTGTCAACAAGAAATAAAAAGGAGTAATATTGGTAAATCAAACATAAGTATACATTTCTATTAGCCTTTGGGTTAGTTGACTCAAAGTAGTTGATAAGCATAAAACGCTAAATTTGATAATAAACTTTTTGACATGCTATAGAAAAGTGTTTATGTTAAATTGATTTAAATGTCTTTAAAATTTTTTAAAAAAGTGCATTAAAATTATCTTTATATGGAGAAAGCGATTAATAAAAATTGTACTAAGTGGAAGTTTGAGTTTTTTTTTATGCATATTTTTTTTAAACTATAAGAGTATAAACCTTGGTCAAATCAAAAGTACTTATAAAGTTTTGGCTTATAAATACACCTTGTATAACAAAAAATTTAACAATAAAAAATGTAACAAAACAATCAAAGTAACAGCAACAGTAACAACAAATCCAGTTTAATCTCACAAGTGAGATATGAGAAAGGATAGTATGTATGTATATTTTACCCCTACCTTATGCAGGTAGAGAGGTAATAAAATAATTAAAAGAAAAAAGAAAAAAAAGAAGAAGGATGATATACACTAACCCTCCTTTTTTTTTGTTTGTGAAATGAGGATACTAGTGTCATTAAGAAGAAAAGACAAAAAAAATCAAAAAATTTATATTTTTAGCCGCTCTAAAAAATAATAGTCTATAAAAATATATTATTATTATTATATTTATGTGTATTTTTAGCTAGCAAATATAATTAGTATCCATCAAACGAGGAGCGTATCTATAGCCTATAATACGGGGCACGTGAACCCATGGTCCCTCCGCCAAATTAAATATTTTATGTACATAATTTTTAGAATTTGTCCAGTATTATGTATTAGACACCCATACTCTGTAAATATTGAATGATACACTTTATTCAATACTTAATTATTTTTTCTCCTTTTTAGTGGTGCACCCATTTCTCGAAATCCTAAATCGCCAATGCAACCAACCATTTGTAATTTGCCAAAATAAATTCATTTAGAAGAAGAGTGGAGGATATATAAATAGCAATTGGCATGTACTAATTTTGAGCGCGAAAACCCTTAGAGGTAAAGGGAAGAAATGGAAGTTTCAAGTCTTCCGATATCGGCATCGCAGAGAGCAAAGCTGATCTCCGCCGGCTACTCTTCTCTTTCTTCTCTCTTTTCCGTCTCCTACTCCGACCTTGCTCGCGGTATCTTTTATTTATGCAAATTAATTGAAAAGCTAAATCCTTTACTTGTTTAGTTTGTCATTTCTGAAGTTCTAAATTTCTCATTGAATTTATTATTAGCAATCAGTTAAAAATGGCTAGTTTGTTTTATGTGCCCATATTTATGGAACAACACATCTGCTTTTATGTGTAGTGAAAGAGAGGCTCCTTGAATTGGATTTTTTTTACAAGTGGAATTGGGAGAAATTAGTTTTCATTTATGGGAATCCTTTTCCCCAAGTTGAATTAAGTTATAACAACAACGACAACGACAACAACACAGTGAATTCCCACAAGTTGGGTCTTGAGAGGGTATTGTGTACGCAGACCTTATCCCTATCATGGGAGGAGGGCAAGGGTAGAGAGGCAAGTTGAATTAAGTTATAATTTACATAATTGCTGGTTTCAAGGCGCCAAATTCTGATTTTGAGCTCAAAGTTGTATGATGCTTGAATGATTTAAAGGAGAAATATTTTGTTGGAAATATGCAATTCTATTTCAGTGGGAGAGGTTAACTCAGATTGAACTTTGTGGGTTCGGGTTTAGGAATTCTACTACAGTGCATTTGATTTACTGATTTCAAAATCTATTATTTGTACTAAATGTTATTTGTAATTATTTAGTGTTAATTTTAACTCATATATAGGGTTTGAACAGAAGTTGATGGGGTTCAGAAGAACGCATAACGTTAACACTACATACGCCCCTGGGTTAACTGAACGATGGACGTAAGGGAAACTAATATTTTGAAGATTTAGAATCTGCCGAGTTTTGGGAAAAGAATAAACTTGGTGCTATAAATAAAATGCTTAATTTTGTGTGGCTTCCCATTTTGTCTCAGTTCTAGTTTATGATCAAGTTTGATGATGAGTTGTAACAGTTTTAAGTTTTATTTAACAAGTGACACTAATGTTATTCCTACATAATGTTCTTTTGCATATGCAAAAATTTCATATCTTTTAACTTTTTTGTGTTATAGATCTAAAGATTTCAGAAAATGAGGCGATTGGAATTTTGAGAGTTGCATCACAAAGGAGGGGATCTGAAAGATCTAATGGAACTAGCTCCATTGTCAATGGTATATTATTATTAACACTATTCTATGAAAAGTGAAAACTTGATGGTTTGTCTGTCAGCAGTCATGTAGATTATATTTTGAGTATTTTTTACAAAGATTATGGAGTCATTATTTCAAATGATTAAGTTTGTTTTAGCGTGATAGTTATTTAGTATTGGCTTGTTAACAGTAGCGTGCATTTCATTGTTCTGCTTTGGTTATTTTTGCAAAGAGGAAGGAAGTTATTCATGGAATTTTTCATTAGGAGCACAGACTGCATGGGATATGCTAAACGAGGAGAAATCACTTGGACGTATCACAACATCCTGTTCCGAGCTGGATGACGTTTTGGGTGGGGGAATAAGTTGCAAAGAGGTTACTGAAATTGGTTAGTGTTTTAACCTTTAGATATCTTGTCTATTACCAACAATATCATACAGGTGTTACTCTTGCTTATCACCATTTCTAAAACGACATGTTTGCAGTTTTCATCAAGTTTAAGATAACATTTCCTTTGATTGTTTCAGGTGGGGTGCCAGGAATTGGTAAAACGCAACTTGGGTAATTGTTATCACATCTACCTCCTATGTATTAGGAATAGCTTCCTTTTTGTTTCTAGTGATTGAAACACTTGAAAATGCAGTATACAACTTGCAGTGAACGTCCAAATTCCTATGGATTATGGTGGTCTGCAAGGCAAGGCAATATATATAGGTAGATGCTGATAGAGTTGTTTGTTATTTGCGTGTTACATCAACTACTGCTATTCTCTTTCTAAAATCAGGCAAGCAGTTAGCAATGTATGCATTTTTCAGATACAGAAGGCAGCTTTATGGTGGAGCGCGCTTTACAAATTGCTGAAGCTTGTCTAGAAGACATGCAAGAATATCATGGATTTTTAAAGAAGGATTTACAAGCTTGTCAACTTAACATGAAGCCAACGGATTTCCTTGAGAACATATTCTATTTTCGTGTTTGTAGTTACACAGAGCAAATTGCTGTTGTAAATTACTTGGATAAGTTCATCTCAGAGCATAAAGATGTATGTAGAGGAATTCTTTCTTTTTAAATATCCTTCTTCACAACTAAAACATATAATTTCTGAAACTTATTTTTTGTTAGGTTAAGGTTGTAATTATTGATAGCATTACATTCCATTTCCGACAAGATTTTGATGACATGGCCCTTAGAACCCGACTACTTGGTGGAATGGCCTTAAAGTTGATGAAGCTCACAAAGAAATTTACTTTGGCAGTAAGGATAACTTCCTTTCTCAATTGATTATCTTTCTGCTCGCAATCTGTTAGATTTATTTGCGATTGTATCAAGTCATTAACGTTGATTTCTTTGTGTAGGTTGTCCTCTTGAATCAAGTAACCACCAAGTATATCGAAGGGTCATATCAGTTAACTCTTGCATTAGGTAAATACCAAGCTTTCGTAAGATATATCTTGGTACCAAACATTTCGCCTCCTGCTAATTTTCGCCCCCGTCCCACCAAATTCCCAGAGAACAATTGTTCTCTTTTTCAAAAGTTTGGGAAAACAAAGATGGTGAACTTATTGTATTGATCATTGTCTGTTTTTGCTTCTTAATATGTTTTGCCAAACAGGAGATAGCTGGTCACACGCTTGCACTAACCGGGTGATTTTATACTGGAATGGTAATGAAAGGTATGCATACATTGACAAGTCGCCTTCTGTTCGATCAGCATCTGCTCAATATTCCGTGACGGGCAGAGGGATTCGGAGCTCTGTTTCAAACTGTAAACGAGTCAAGATGATGTAAGTTTTCAGTTAACATTTGAAAGAGCAATGACGGAACTCTTATTTTTCTTCCGCTTGGATGAGAGTGAGTTTTGCTTGACGTGCTATGGACTTGTAAATTCTATGCCTAGCCGTGAATCTTTACAAATTCTCCTTAAACATTTGAACATACATAGCTTCGACTGGATACGGAACTTAAACACCCTAAAGTAGGTTAAAATTTTCCTTTGGTTTGCACATAACTGTTTAAGATAACTGCAAAATAATCAACTTTTAACACTTGCTTTATATGCATTAAAGATGGTGAAACAGTCATTAAATTTTAGAGATACTATAGGATTGTTAATACGAAGAAGAGCTTGAAGCAACGGTAAAGTTGTTTCCGTGTGACTTATAGGTCACGGGTTTTAGATGTATGTCTATATCACACTCTCAGGATGCAACCTTTCCTCGGACCCGCATAAACTTGGGATGCATTGTGTACCTAGTTGCCATTTTCTTTTAGGATTGTTTATAAGTTCATCATTTTAGTTGTGAGAAACTCTCATAGAGAAACTCACCAACCCACCATAAATAAAAATATTATTAATAGTACTTTCCTTTCATGTTATAAGTAATTTTTTTTTTTTATTTCAACAAATAAGTATTTTATTTTCATGACATAATTTTTTTTTTTCATTTTAACAAAAAAAATATTTTCTTTTCACGATGTAAAAGAAGTATTTTATTTTCATGTAGAAAAAATATTTTTTTCATTTCAACAAAATGAGTATTTTCTTTTCATGATGTAGAAAATATATTTTTCATTTCAACAAAATGAGTCTTTTTATTTATGATGTAGAAAATGTATTTTCTTTTACTTCAATAAAATGATTACTTTATTTTCATGTCGTAGAAAGAATACTTTTTTTTTGTTATAGTTATGGAGTATTTGTGTTAATTTTTAGAAGAATAATTAAATTGTTGAAGAAAATAGAGTCCTTAAAACGTTGATTATTTGGGGAGGGGGTGGGAGGCAAGGAAACATGGGGACTTGGGGAAGGGGGTGAGGAGAATAGAATAAAAAAATATTTTCTTAAAGTAAATAAGTAATAAAATAAATTTTTCACTAACCAATCAAACAAGGTAAAATAAGTAATAAAATCACTTATTTTTCATGAAAATATTTTCCTTCTTACCAAACACACCCAACCCAATAATTAATAAGGGGGGTTAACACGGCCATAATACCAATTTTAACTTTTAAGTGCCAAATGGGCGTTTCACCTTGTAATTGCCGCCTCGTATCATCCTCTCTGTTGCGCCTATGACGACACCTCCAAAGCTTCAACAAATATTTTTTTTCTTTCTTTCGGTGTTCGATATTTGTTTTTGGTTCAACAAATTTGAATTCACATTGCGTAGCGTTTATTAAAGCGAAAATATTTTCTACCAAAAATTTTTCCTTTTAAAACTTGAACCGAGACCTTTTTTTTTTTTTTGTTTTTTTTCGAGACTTTGGGTTAAGTGAAAGAATCATATCCATTTTACTACAACTTTCGGTGATAACTAGGGGTGTACAAACCGAACTGGAAAATCGCACTAATCCGAAAGTCAAATCAAACCGATTAAAAAACCCGATTTGGTTTGGTATTGAGTAAAAAAATCCGAACCAAACCGACATATAAATATATATAATTTTTATGTATACTTTTAAAACCTTTTATAGAATTTTCTTTAAATCATATCTAAAAATATTTGCAATTCTCTTATGGGATGTAATATGTAGTTAAATATGAAATGTTCCATATTTAGTAACTTTAAATAATGGATTGTATGATCACTTTCTTAGCAAGTGTTAGTGAAATTCGCCAATCTCTTTATTTTTCTATATTCATATGTCAAGATTTATTAAATTCTTATATCTTTTTCGAATTTGAAATGGTATTTCGATAATTTAAAATTAAATAGAACATATCATTATATAAGTTCATATTTATTTTTATGTTTAATTATTAAATTCGGTTAACTTGAAAGTGTATATCAACGTAAAATTATTGCCAGACGACTAAAAAATAAGTATCATGTGTTACTAAGAAAATTCTTCGATAATAATATTTTAATAGATCATATAATTGTCACATTTTTTAATTTTTACTAAACATATATTTATTTATAAAAAGTTTAACAAAGTAAGATTGAAATAATATTCATATAACAAAAAATTCGAAAAACCCGACAAAACTGAACTAATCCAAACCGATATAGTTGATTTGATTTTGATAAAAACCGAACCAACTCGGTTCATGTACACCCCTAGTGATAACAACTACCCTTATTCCAACTCTTTTTACTGATGAACTTTTAGAAAGAAAAAATAATGTAAACGTTTAGCATATTTTTTAGAATTTTATGAACTAAAAGTACTTAAATGTAAAATATATGAATCCTTTAATAGATAGATAAGGTATTAAATCCTTTGTCTTTTTCAATTTAAAGCAGGATTTATTTTCTATCAGAACTAAAGTTGATAACTGTATGACATTATACAGAATCTGTTTCTTAAGCCTGACGTAAAATTCCACATCAAAATCTAGCAGTTGTATTTTAAATTATTTATTGGTTTTTGAAAGAAACGCTATATGGTTAGGTGAGATGAATTTTTTGACCAAAAAGTACCTCAACCAACCAAACAAAAAAATTACCATTTTTTATTTTTTTGTTGAGGGGCATCGAAAAGATAACAACCTAATTTGGTTGTTGGTTCTTGAATTCAATCCCTTACCTAATATTTCTCCAAGTTCTGTATTTTGCATTTTTTTCCTTTTCTTTTTCGTTTCCACTTTGGCATTCATAATTAGATTCGTTCCTCAATTTTTCGTTGAGAGAATATGCTATTCTATATTAACCTTAATATGAAAAGAAAAAAAAGAAAAAAAAAAACAGCTGCACAAAAATTCAAGGTAGATTTAGCTCGACATTGATTTAGAAGTATCTGCTAAAGATCATCGTCCACAAATTTCATATATTAGATTAATTTAAAGATCCAAAAGAGAATAAAAAGTTGCCCTTCATCAAACAATCACAAGCAAGTTGACCATACAAGTTATAGTAATTTATAGATCCAAAAGTACTTAAATGAGTCATTTTTATATTGTTATTAAAAATATTCTCAATTTATATTATATATTAAATAAGTCGCCCTTTGGGTTTTGATTTAGTACTAGTAGCGCAGCAACACATAATATATGGACTAGATGTAAGTCACAGACTTTAAATACCATACAAAAGGGTTAATATTCAAGTGAAAAATGATAGAAAAATGGATCCATTATTTACCGAGTTTTGAACCATGAACCATATATTTTCCTTTTCTTTTATTGCCTCAAATTTTTTGACAAAATTTATTTTCCTTCTATAATTTATAAGATAGCATTTTTAAATTAAAAAGTAGTAAATGTTAATATATGACACCTACCCACATATCTCTTAGAGCCACAAGGAGCCAATCCCTAAATAAATCCTCAAAAGTCATTTTAAGGCCACTCTTTCCTCATTTTCTCCTCCCATATATCACCTCCTCTTCACTCTCTTTTCTCTTTGAGACAAAACATCAAACACCTTACTGGTAAAGCCATGGCGTCTTCTTCTTCTCTCACTCTCTCTCAAGCTATCCTCTCTCGTTCTGTCCCTCGCCATGGCTCTGCCTCTTCTTCTCAACTTTCCCCTTCTTCTCTCACTTTTTCCGGCCTTAAATCCAATCCCAATATCACCACCTCCCGCCGCCGTACTCCTTCCTCCGCCGCCGCCGCCGCCGTCGTAAGGTCACCGGCGATTCGTGCCTCAGCTGCAACCGAAACTATAGAGAAAACTGAGACTGCCCTTGTTGACAAATCTGTAAACACGATTCGATTTTTGGCTATTGATGCTGTCGAAAAGGCGAATTCGGGTCATCCGGGTTTGCCCATGGGTTGTGCTCCGATGGGTCATATATTGTACGATGAGGTTATGAGGTATAACCCGAAAAACCCGTATTGGTTTAATCGGGATCGGTTTGTTCTATCAGCTGGACATGGTTGTATGCTTCAGTATGCTTTGCTTCATCTAGCTGGCTATGATGCTGTCAGGGTAAAAAAAACTTACCTTTTTGTCTTTTAACTTTTTTTATTAGTCTTTTTTGCTAATTGGTGCATGCATAAGTAGATCTATGCATTTTGTTTATGTTATGTGGCAGTGTTTGACTGGTCACAAATATAAGGGGGAGCCACATATAGTGAAGGGAAAATTATATGGTGTATATAGGTTAAACATTACTTTTTATATGTATATTTTAAATCTTGAGATATTTTTGGCTTCGCCACTAGGCACGAAGTTAAAAAAAATACTTTTTTACAACTTTTGGTCTAAAATAAGTTTGTAGACATTTGTATGTCTATAAAGCATTCATCAAGGATAAAATTAGAAGTTATGTTTCTAAATATGAAATGTAACATTCTTTTTCGACAGAATGAAAGAGGGGGAAATGACTTGTGGACTTGTGGGTGATCAAGTCATTTTTCTTTACAATTTTAGCTCTTACTCCATATCACTTGTTATAACCAACACTTACACATTGTTATCAGTTTTTAAAACTACAAAAATTTCGTCAAAGCACCTCTAATTTGCTGATGTAGAAAAAAAAAATTGGAAAATATTTTTCATTCACCTACCTAATACAGAAAATAAGTGAGAAAACCACTGATTATCCAAGATCTTTCATACCAAACATACATAAACATGTATGTCATGCCATTCTGGTATAGAATTTCATGTGTTTGGTGGGGAGGGATGTGTTTTTATGAAATATTTTTCTCGGGAAATCATTTTCTTGATCGTGTTCCAGTGTTTGGTTTGTATATAAGTTGAAACTTGCGAAGTGTAGGATAAGATATTAGGAAAGTGTTTGACGAAATCTTGAGTATGATGTTGATTGAAGTAAGTGATATGGAAGAGCAGTTGGTATGATTATCAAGGAAAATGTAATTTGCCACGTTTGGTGCAAAATATTTTCCTCAGAGAAACGTATTTAACAATTTTAGGTATCCAAACTCTGGAACTGTTTTCCAAGAAAAATTTTCCTCCATACCGAACAGTCAAAATTGAAACATGACTTTTTGGTACACTTTGCACAGTTACTGATGATTTTATCTGTCTTTTAGCTTAATGAGCTTATTTTTTTTTTAAATGTGTTTTATGAGTGAGAATTTACTTGCATTACATTTGGAATTTTTTTCACCACTATGCTTTTTTTTTACCTGTTTTGCTGATTATTTTAGTATTATATTTGACTAGGAAGAGGACTTGAAGAGCTTCCGTCAGTGGGGAAGCAAAACCCCTGGACACCCTGAAAACTTTGAGACACCTGGTGTTGAAGTCACCACCGGTTAGTGCACTTTTTTTTATGTCCCATGTACACTTATAAGTAGCATTTGTATATCTGGGGGTGGATTATATATTTTGACTACATGGCTTTTCGTTGCGAGCTGTATAACTAATTTCTTTATTTTCTTGCGGTTAGGGCCTCTGGGACAAGGTATTGCCAACGCCGTTGGCTTGGCTCTTGTGGAGAAACACTTGGCTGCTCGTTTCAATAAGCCTGACGCTGAGATTGTAGACCACTACACGTGAGAGTCTTCTCACTCTCTCCTTTTTGTTTCCCTTTAGTGCCATAACAATAGAACGATTTAATGCAACCTGTCTTTTGCTTAACTAATTGCATCGATGATTGGTCATGCAGATATGTTATTCTCGGTGATGGTTGCCAGATGGAGGGTATTTCACAAGAAGCTTGTTCCCTTGCTGGACACTGGGGACTTGGAAAGCTGATTGCTTTCTATGATGACAACCACATCTCAATTGATGGTGACACAGAAATCGCTTTCACTGAGGATGTTGGTGCCCGTTTTGAGGCTCTTGGGTGGCACGTAATCTGGGTGAAGAACGGTAACACTGGTTATGATGAGATTCGTGCTGCTATTAAGGAAGCAAAAACTGTCACAGACAAACCCACTATGATCAAGGTACTTTATCTTCTGCATCTTTATGTTGGGTACTACGAGGTGATCCTGAAAAGTAGTATATGATTGAATTACTATATAGACTTTGCTTCATTGATAATTTTACATTTCATTTTTGAATATCCCATTTCCTTTTTTTTTCGCAGTCGGGGTGCAGGATTAATTCATTATTCGTAGTGCTGCTAGGGTTCCTTGATAGATTCATTTCGTATCGTTCATCATTAAGTTTACTGAACTTTCCTCCTTTCAGGTGACTACAACCATTGGTTTTGGCTCGCCCAACAAGGCAAACAGTTACAGTGTACATGGAAGTGCACTTGGAGCTAAGGAAGTAGAGGCCACCAGGAGTAACTTGGGATGGCCTTATGAGCCTTTCCACGTGCCTGAAGATGTCAAGAGGTATTAATCCATTCCCTTTCTCCTCTTATTCATTTGAACATTACTGGTTACTTACAAGCTATTGGTGTTCACTTGCTACTTATTGCAGCCATTGGAGTCGTCATGTTACCGAGGGTGCTGCTCTTGAAGCTGGATGGAATACCAAGTTTGCTGAATATGAGAAGAAGTACCCAGAGGAAGCTGCAGAACTCAAATCCATTACAACTGGTGAACTACCTGCTGGCTGGGAGAAAGCTCTGCCTGTAAGTAGTCATTTTCAGCTCTCTCTTATTTCAAGCTGAGTTCAACTGCTTTTGGTTTGGGCTATCCTTATATTAAGTTCTTAGCTTGTGGGAGTGAGGTTGTTGAATTTTTGCCTGGTATAATAGACGAGAGAGTTTGTTTCATTTGTACTCCTGTACTTTCTATTTTCCCTGATCGGCGGGACCAATATTTAATAAGTCAAATCAACTATTTTGCATCACAATTCCTCAATCATCCTTTTCTATCTAAACAGTCTTGCTCAAAAATGATACTCGTCTAGTTTTGAAACATGTAAATCTTTCCTAATCCAGTTATTTGCTTGCTTTCTCAATCTCAGACCTACACACCTGAAAGTCCAGCGGATGCCACCAGAAACCTGTCCCAACAAAACCTGAATGCTCTTGCCAAGGTTCTTCCTGGTTTCCTTGGTGGTAGTGCTGATCTTGCCTCATCAAACATGACCCTCATGAAAATGTTTGGTGACTTCCAAAAGAACACCCCAGAGGAGCGTAATCTAAGGTTTGGTGTTCGTGAACATGGTATGGGAGCCATATGTAATGGTATTGCTCTACACAGCCCTGGCTTGATTCCCTACTGTGCTACTTTCTTTGTGTTCACCGACTACATGAGAGGAGCTATGAGAATTTCAGCCTTGTCTGAGGCTGGAGTTATTTATGTTATGACCCACGATTCAATTGGTCTAGGAGAAGATGGGCCTACCCATCAACCCATTGAGCACTTGGCAAGTTTCCGTGCAATGCCCAACATTCTGATGTTCCGTCCAGCAGATGGCAACGAGACAGCGGGAGCTTACAAGGTGGCTGTCCTCAAGAGGAAGACACCATCAATCCTTGCCCTCTCTCGGCAAAAGTTGCCACAACTTGCTGGAAGTTCTATTGAAGGAGCAGCAAAGGGTGGCTACATTTTATCAGACAATTCTTCTGGCAACAAACCTGATGTCATTTTGATTGGTACTGGCTCAGAGTTAGAAATTGCTGTCAAGGCTGCTGATGAACTCAGGAAAGAAGGAAAAGCAGTGAGAGTTGTTTCCTTTGTTTGTTGGGAGCTTTTTGAAGAACAATCAGCCGACTACAAGGAAAGTGTCCTTCCATCATCTGTTACAGCTAGAGTTAGCATTGAGGCTGGATCCACATTTGGGTGGGAGAAATATGTCGGATCAAAGGGGAAGGCCATCGGAATTGACAGATGGGGTGCCAGTGCCCCTGCTGGAAAAATATACAAGGAGTACGGAATTACAGCAGAGGCTGTTGTAGCTGCAGCTAAACAAGTTTCTTAGGCTTTATTACTTACCCTTGGTTGCTGGTGTCTACCAAATTTGTTTTCATTTTGAAACTGAGGTTGGAGATAACGGTGGAAACCAATACCAAACGGACTCGGCAGTTCACTGTTGCCTGGTATTTTCAATAAAAACTATTTCTTCATCTGTCCTTTGTTTTCTTCAGTTTTAGTAGCGGAGCGGCCAAAATGAATCCAAGATGAGGATAGAAATAGGATTATGGATGCTCCTGACCATGTACACTTAAAACATATCTGTGAGTTTTGTAATTTTATTTGGTCGAGTGATACCAAGATCTCATTTTCAATTGGAAATTCATGTCTTTTGATAAAGGGGCTTTCTTTGTCTTTACTATAGTCATCAGTTTGTAGCTATCTGTTTCAAAGCAAATACAACAATAACAAATCCAGTCTAATTTCACATGTGGGGTCTGGGGAAGGTAGTGTGTACGCAGACCTTACCCCTACTTTGTGAAGGTAGAGATGTTTTCGATAGACCCTCAGCGAAAGTATAGTCCTGTTTCAAAGCAAATGGACTTACATAATGTTTTCGCAAGATTGATTACAAAGTCTGCAAGGTGTACTTAAGGAAGTACTATATTCTACCATTGAACTAGATTGTTTCTACACCTATTTCAAGCTAAATTTTAAATGGTTTAGGAGAAATTTTCACTAGTGATATTTTAACTGGTCATATCACTGATTCTTATCAGGAATTGGATGACTTTATTTCTCTTCATTACCCTTTGGATCTAAGCCATGGAAGAAAATATGGAAATCTAATCTTTAAAGCAAATGTGAGTCTTTCCAAGCAACAAAATGTAGCCATATTAAGGTGGTGCGGATCTCTATATTCTTAGTTAATGGATTCGAGTTTAAGCTCTAGGAATGTAGATACTCTTGCTCTAAATTAATCGGGATAATACTACGATTGCGCGATTCGAATTAGTTGAAATGAGTTTAGATTAAACAAAAAAGAATGTGGCCCCATACCAAGGGTTGGAGGATGATAGATTGTGTGTATCCAAATTTACGGAAAAAATAGCATGAGCTAGTCAATTTTTAGATTGATAATTGAAAAATAACCAGCATTTGCAAAGTCATTGAAAAATAGCCACTATTTTTGCTGCATCGCGGACCGGTCCAGCATAATATACTGAAGACTGGTGCACTTGTGTATGAATTTCCAGCATATTATGCTGGAAGTCCAACACGCGGAAAGTTCCAGTATAATATACTGGAGATTGGAGCACCTGTGTATGAACTTTCAGCATATTATGCTGGACCGATATATTATACTGGAACTCCAGTATAGGGCTGTGCATAATTTGGTAAATACCTAATTACCGTACCGAAACCGAAAATTTTGGTATTTGGTATATTATTTGGTTTAAGTTTTTAAAAAAAATTGGTATTAGGTATGGTATTTGGTATTTTAAATTTTAAATACCGAAATACCGATACTGTACCGAAATATATATTATATTACACAATACACATTTTATTAATTATAACATAAATATAAGAAATCTAAAATTTTACTTTCCTTTATTCTCTAAGTTCATCAATTAACTCTAAGCAAGTAACAAGATATTTCTCTAAGTTTTCTCTCTCTAGGTTGGTATTTGCTGGTTTTGGACACAACTTTTGTCAACGAACGTTTTTACGTTTGTACTTTTGAGTACTTTAATTAAGAATATTATCGTGTATGACTCTATGCACTAGCTAGTATTCAAACCGAATCAACCGAAAATACCGAACCGAATAAACCGAAACCGAAAGGAGAAAAACTGAACCATACCGAATTTAATTAGGTACGGTATTGGTATAGCATTTTACGAAATCGAATACCGAGAATACCGAACCGAAATGTCTAAATATCGTACCGTACCGACCGACGAACACCCCTACTTTAGTATATTATGCTGAAATATTTTTCGGATTTTGAATAATATTTTCGTTCAGATTTATCTTTACATAAAAAGTGGCTAAATTTCGATTACTTTTGAAATTGTGATTTCAATTAACATTTGTAAACGTTGGTATTTTTTAATTTCTCCCAAATTTATGTGGTTGTTGAAACTTTTGGTTACTCTCCGGTTGTTGAAATTCTGGCTGTAAACCTTCCAATCCACATTATCTCCTTCCACCAGGTTGTCGAAGATGGTCCCACCAGATTAGAATAATATTTGGAGCTTTAGCATATTCTTTCTCTCTTATTCGATTAAAATAATGTTTGTTGACTGAAGTTGGTGTTTTTTCTTGTTATTTTCATCATTTAGTTTAATAATCCATATCTCACCTACTTTAAACTTCTTTAATGCTTTTTTTTAATCATGTTTAACGTGGAGTTTAAAAAAGAACGAAAAATTTTAGAAAGTGATGATCTTGAATATTATTTGTCTAGTTATAAGACGTTTAAAATTCGTGATCTTAAATATATTATAATATTTATGACTATAAAAACTTGTTAGTAAAGGTAATGGGTTTTTATTTCTAAAACAGACAAAAGAAAATAAGTTTGCATAAATTGAAACAAATAAAGTCGTATTTTTTAGTCTATTGTTCAACGATCCGTCTGATCTAATATCCTTTTAGAGGAAAGGAAATANAATATATAGCTAAATTGGCTAATTACGAATATTTACTTCATTGTAGACAATTTGAAGTAGTGAGATTGTGAAAAGTTGTTGGGAAAATTCATCACCGGTTGTTTAGATGTGTGCAATCTATTTGTCTTTCTTTTCTTTTCTTTTTTTTTTTTTTGTGGTTGTGATTACGAATAAGAAATGTGAATTATATTGTAAGTCAAATAATTTTAGAGAAAATTGAGATTATTAGATAATGAGAATTTGAGAAAACATGTACAAAAAAAACTTCAAAATAAATTTGACCAATTTTAGATGATAGAATTTTTTTGACGTTTTACATCGTGGTAAAAATAATTACTAGATGATGAAAATTCTAAAAAATATTACGTTAAACTGGATTTTCTTTAAATATTACATAATTTTTTGTGAATGGTACAAATGTGTACAAGATGGCTCGAACATCATCGGTATAAACAAGTTCAAATAAAAATATATACAAATCTTATTAGTATAAATTCAAACAACTTATTAAAGTTTAGCTTTAAGCAACTAATTTTACCAAGCCACTACCTTCAATTTTCGCTAGTCTCTTAAATTATTATTTAATAATAATATAATTTATGTATGTTTTGTATGTAACCATATATTCGTTAAGTTTTAAGAACTATTTAGTGTACCGAATATCGAAATTTCTAAAAGTTTATATGATACTATAACAAATATATAAAAAAAATTTAGTCGACAATTCGATTTTTGCCAAATTGTGCACACCCTACAGTAAATAAATATCTGGAGGCCAATCTTGAATTAGGCCTTAGGCCTTAGAATGATTTGGTGTTCCGTAGTTGGTAGCTTCAGGTGCTCTTCTATCCTTTAATTTCTAGTATTTGAGAAGTTCATATGTGTATACTATCATCTCCATAACTATAAAATAATCAACTTTAACATTTTAAATTTTAGAGATACTATAGGATTGCTTAACTTTTGGAATTACTTAGATGCCCCCTTCTTTCGTCCCGTGGCCTTTCATCATACCATTAATCCATTAAAGTATATTGGATTAAGAAATTTTTATTTAACAAAACTACTACAAATGGAATAATATTTTCCCTATATGTTTTTGGTATATTTGACTTCTAATGATTTTTCTGGTCTACCAGGGCTTAATTGAAATGATGTTACCATTTGCCTTATTGTATGCATTTTGAATGACTAATAATAGCCGATTAAATTATGTATTATTGTTTGTTGTGCATGTAATTTTTTCTTTTATATTTTATTCTTGTTTCTTAGCTTTCCCTATTTTTACCTTTTATGGTATGGTGGTGGTTGACGTTGCAAGAACCGAACTTGTAGCTGCCATTATTTCATCGCTTGTGTATTCTCCGTGGAGCCTCCGTACTAACGATTACAAATATACTAGCCATTCAAATTGCCACTGATGGCGTAGGTACCCAACTAATTAATATATATTTCTAAAGTTATGAGTCTCACTTTTTTTTATTGTCATATAGAGGATCCAAGGATGGTGAATGTGGTTACACAACATCAACCTAATTGCATGGATACTTCGTGGTATTGTTAGCTCGCAACTTGTTGATGTGGAGAGCGGTTTTGAATTTGGCCAGGGTATGATTTGGTGGTCATCAGCGCCGCAGCGGTAGTTGGTGCTACGAGGTGCTCTTCATCTCTATCTATGTTGCGTCACTGAAGCTACTCAACTTCCAAGTGATGAGCAATATTTATTTTGAGGCTTTGATATTCTCTTTTTGTGAATTAGTCTAACAAGACATTGTGGAAAATCAAATATCGTGGGTGCTATTTCTTATCGTTAGTGGTTTGAACAGCTAGTTTTATCAAAGGGTTCTTATGAGTCGTAAACCTCTGCAATTAAGTTTATTTCACGTAGCGTTTGAAGTCCTGCCATCTATTTAGAATAAAACTATTTACCTTACATTTGGCTGCACAAAGAGTGTGTGCCTAATTTCATGTGTTCTATCTATCTAAATGCCAAAGCTCTGTTTTGTACACCAATTTCCTTTAAATAGTAGTTTTCTCCGAGCACCCTCTTCCCCTCATCATGTGCTAAAATAACTGCGAGAATATGACTAACTATATTACCCAGCATGAACAAGTTTTGGAACTAATATTTATGGTGATTTCATGGTTTTACTCCATCTTGAACGTAAATATTTTGCAAGGTTTTACTTTATCTTCCAATACCATTATTATTGCACGTACTGAAATTGTGTGATAATCATAGAATCAATTTCACGTCTTGACAACCTCTAGAAACTAGTAAGAAGATTACCAACATGTAAATTATAACTCGCATAAACCCGCTGTCCTGATTACTTGCCAGAACAACTAACACTTAGATATTATTATTAATTTTTAGTAGTCAAAAGTTATTCAAAGTTATTCTTTGATTGCTAATATTAATGTTATTTATCTTTAGTACTCCCTCCATTCCAATTTATGTGAACCTGTTTGATTGGGCACGGAGTTTAAGAAAAAATAAAGACTTTTGGAATTTGTGGTCCTAAACAAGTCAAAAAGGGGCTCAGAGTATTTGTGTGGTTATAAAAGCTTCTCATTAAGGGTAGAATTGTAAGTTTAAGCAAAATTGTTTCCAAATTTAGAAATGAATCATTCTTTTTGAAACAGACCAAAAAAAAAATAGGTTCAGGAACGGAGGGAGTAATATCTTTTCATACTAAAAATTATTTTTGAGAAATAATATTTTCCAAGAGTAACATTTTTCGTATGGAAAATAACTTCCATCATATTAAACATATTAATTAATTTGAACCCTATCGCCTCGGCCTATTTAATACCCTAAAATTCCTATTGCAGAATTATCAGTGTGCAAATGGTGGACATGCGTTTCCTACTCACCCGAAACTTTTGATTAAACATAAATAATTACTTAACACTCCAACACAAATATTATTATAATGAGTAGTACTCAACTAGTAATCATGCTACAACCTTTTACCATTTGTCAATAAGAATTGTAACGGACTAATAAGTATTTTTTTTTCCTTAATCAAAGATTTTTTGGTTTGTAATCGTCTTTATTAGGGAACACTTTACTTCTAATATTAATTTTTCGGCACGAATTAAAATTTAATTTGGGGTAATAGAAATACCAAATAGTCGCTAAAATAATAGCCAAAAATATATATATATAATACTCTGATAAATCAAATATACATATTTTATACTTTTGCTGTACAAATATAAATAATTTTGGTCAAGCGTTAAAAGTGATTGCACCTAACTCCGAGCCGATACAGATAAAATGGTTGGTGAAAGTAGTCAGCGGGTCAATCATACAAAAATCCATTACCTTTCAGTCTACCTACTCCTCCACAACAACAAATTTCAGTAATTAAAAACAGAATACAACTGGAAATCTCCTTTTGCAAAGAGCCAAAGATTCAAACTTTTAACTCTCAACATACAAATAAACCACAACAAAATACAGACAGAGAGAGAGAGAAACTAAAGAAAGATGGCACAGATTAGCAAGATGACACAAGGGATACAAACCCTTTATCCCAATTCCAATATTCATAAACCCCAAATTCCCACATTTTCACCTTCTCTTTCCTTTGGATTGAAAAATTCAGCAAAATCTATGTGGGTCTTGAACAAAGATTCATTCTTGAAAAAAGATTCAATTTTTAGGATTTCAGCATCACTGGCTACAACACAGAAACCCAATGAGATTGTTCTGCAACCAATTACAGAGATATCTGGCACTGTTAAATTGCCTGGCTCTAAATCCTTATCCAATCGTATTCTCCTTCTTGCTGCCCTCTCTGAGGTAATTAAGTAGCTGATATATATATATATATATATATGTGTGTGTGTGTGTGTGTGTGTGTGTGTGTTGTGGGGGCGGGGTAAGCCAACTTTTAGGGATTGTTTGGTTCACATGTTAGTTATGCCGGAATTATAATGTAGGTATCAATTATGCAATGCTTTGGTTCACATGTTAGTTACGTCGGGATTATAATGCAAGGGTTATTTATGCAATGATTAATAATGAAGGGTTTGTAGATTATAATACATGGATTAATTACGCTAGAAAAGGGCATTTTTGTCTTTACATAGTTTAATCACTTCATTGTTAAAAAATGTGTTGTTATGCCACAATTTATCCTGCATAAAGACAATACATAATTCGCGCATGATTTAATACTGCCAACCAAACGCTGCATAACATTTGGTGCATAGTTATGCGGCGACTATTTTTTTTTCTTATGCGACCAACCAAACACTATATTATCTTATGCAGATTTTTTATAATTGGATTATTATCCCTATAACCAAACGATCCCATTTGTTGAATAGCGCAATTACAATATTAGAATGACTGTGTATGCGAACAACCTATACGGCCAATATGTGGTCGAAATGATATGCTTTGCCTGCTTACAATGAAAAGAGGAAAAAAAGAAAAGAAAAAAGAATATTTTGCACCCATGATTGAAGTTTGTCATTGTTTATCATTTAGCACTTAGCATGCAAATGTTCAAACTTTTGCATACACAATTTGCTTATGGGACAGAAATGTGTTCTTAGCAACACCTTAGTCGAAGTATAAGGTGCCCTTACCAACTATGGTAATCTCTTCCAAAGCTGAAGATGGCTTGAACTACGTATATTGCATAATAGCTCTGAACCATGATCAACTTTGTGAACTTCTCTAAGCTGTGAAAGTTCACATTTTTCATTCTTTTGCATAAGATATCATTTCATTGAGGTTTCATTTGCTCTTTAACTTGAAGCTATGTCTTTTGACTTTATTGTTTGCGCTATATATTTGAACTACTTTTGTGGCCGTTAAAAGTGACTGGCCTTTGAATTTCAGGGAACAACTGTTGTTGACAATTTACTTAGTAGTGATGATATTCATTACATGCTTGGTGCGTTGAAAACACTTGGACTGAATGTAGAAGAAGACAGCGCAAACCAACGAGCAACTGTTGAAGGTTCTGGTGGGCTATTCCCTGTTGGTAAAGAGTCCAAGGAAGAAATTCAACTTTTTCTTGGAAATGCAGGAACTGCAATGCGGCCACTAACAGCAGCCGTTGTTGTAGCTGGCGGAAATTCAAGGTCTAATAGCTTCTCTCTTCATACCAATTTATTCTTTTAGGTTTCAGTTGAAGCATTTCAATGAAATGGAGCCAAATAGAGCAGAATGATTAGAGCGGAATGGTTACCACATTACTAACTTAAATTTATCATTCTCATATTATAGGTATGTACTTGATGGAGTTCCTCGAATGAGAGAGAGACCAATTGGTGATTTGGTTGATGGTCTTAAGCAACTTGGTGCAGAGGTTGATTGTTTCCTTGGTACGAAATGTCCTCCTGTTCGAATTGTCAGCAAGGGAGGTCTTCCCGGAGGGAAGGTGAGGATTACAAATTCTACTATGCCGTATCCATAATGTTAAGAAATCTTATCTTAAGCTGAAGCAGAGAAGTCTTTGCTGATAAAGTTAAGTTACTCTATGTCTGGAAGAAATTGAACTCCAAAGCCAAACACTAAATTCCTTAACAGTAATAAGTTGAATGACTACAAAGTTGTATCAAGCTCAAACACATATAGCTAGCTGTTTTTATAAGAAACAGCACTCGGGAACTACATTTCCAAACAAATCAGGAATCACAGTTCTTGTCGATGAAGAAGCTATTTAAAAGGAAATAAAAGAGTTCTCCCTCATTGCGGAATTAGCTTTTCTAATTTCTATTTATAGTTATGAGAAAATTTTGCCCAATTTTTTAGAAGAGGAACTTATTCCCTTCACTCTTCTTACTTATTCTAATATTAAATAGTTGATATGGAGACTTCTTTATAATAAAGAAGATTCAAAGAGTTCAAAAGTTACCTGTATCTCGAACCCGGGCTTTGGTTTAGTGGTAAGAGCGCAACACGTGATGTGTGGAATAGGCGCACATCACGGGTTTGAACCCTACCGGAGACAAAGTCTGGTATTTAAGTTGAGAATGGTACCGGGGCGGGCATATCCACCGAGTTTCGACCCGTACCACTGGCCTTCAAGGATTTTTTAATTATCAAAAAAACAAAAGTTACCTCTATCTCCCTTATATATTGCTTTAATTTAAAAATTATAAAACTTCAACCTTTACGATTTAAGATATGTTCTAATAAAAGAAAACAGTTAAATTTAATGGATGGAGTATCAGGCTAGTCCTAAACCAATGAGGATACTAATAATAAAACTTACCTAAAACAAGAAACTAAGAACCCTAAGGATTACTATACGTAGGACTTATAACATTACTTAATGAACAGTAATGTTGCTATTACACTGTTCTGTAAACGGTCTCTTTTGCCTGCCTTTTCCTTGTTTCGAAGCATAGAATACCATTATCATTCAGAAATTCTTGCTTTAGTTATTCTTTCTTGACTATCTTTTAGGTGAAGCTCTCTGGATCCATTAGCAGCCAATACTTGACTGCTCTCCTTATGGCTGCTCCACTGGCTTTAGGAGATGTGGAGATTGAAATCATTGACAAACTAATTTCCGTACCTTATGTCGAAATGACATTGAAGTTGATGGAGCGATTTGGTATTTCTGTGGAGCACAGTAGTAGCTGGGACAGGTTTGTTGTCCGAGGAGGTCAGAAATACAAGTAAGTCTGTTTTCAAATCATTTTAATGGCTTGAGAAGTTTATTACCAAAACTATTGAAGTAAATATTGACGTAATATTAGGTCTCCTGGAAAAGCTTATGTAGAAGGCGATGCTTCAAGTGCTAGCTACTTCTTGGCTGGAGCGGCCGTCACAGGTGGAACTATCACTGTTGAAGGTTGTGGGACAAGCAGTTTACAGGTATTGCTCTGGCCGTTTGAGCCAGGGGAGGGGTTTGCATGTTGAACTTATCTGTTATCTTTCTGTGTTGACTTTGTGGAAGCATCCTAATATGTACCCACATTTGGCCCCTGAGTTTGGTTTAGTGGTAAGAGCGCAACCCCGTAGGTGAATTAGATGCACATCGCGGGTTCGAATGCTACCACAGACAAGTCTTGTATTTAAGTGGAGAAGGATAGAGGGGTGGGCCCATTATCCATAGAGTTTTGAACTATGCACCACTAGCCCTCCGGGATTTCTCGATTATCAGATAAAGAAAAAAGTACCCACGTCTTGCTTATGTACACGTTTGGTTTTTGTTAGGTATTAAAGCATTGTGGATGAGACATTCTTAATTCTTTACAGTAGCACCCAAATCGATGAATGCATTGAGATGACTTTCAATGTCATGGTTAAACTTTCTCATTTGTGTTTTTATGTTTGCCTTTGTGAAGGGGGATGTCAAATTTGCTGAGGTTCTTGAGAAAATGGGAGCAGAAGTTACTTGGACAGAGAACAGCGTCACAGTCAAAGGACCACCAAGGAATTCTTCTGGAATGAAGCATTTGCGTGCCATTGATGTGAACATGAATAAAATGCCTGATGTTGC